ATTAAGTCCATTTTCAGATGGGCTCAAGAATTAAACTCAAGGCCATGACTGGTTAGTAGAGTTCTTTCTGACCCCTACCCCATGTTTTCAGAAACTTGCTCTAAATTTGCCATGGTCTTGGCATCTGGGAGAAAGCGACTGACTGCCCCACTGAAATGCAGGATCGGCAGCTATCTCTGTCTCAGTGCATGCTGTGGCTGTAAATGAACCCGTATTTCCTCCTCTCCCTGACCAGTTCACAGATTGACCGCAAGAGTTCTCTAATCTCTTTTCTTTCTTTCTTTTCTTTTTTTTTTTTTGGGGGGGGGGTTCAAGACAGAGTTTCTCTGTGTAGTCCTGGCTATCCTGGAACTCACTCTGTAGACCAGGATGGCCTCGAACTCAGAAATCCGCCTGCCTCTGCCTCCCAAGTACTGGGATCAAAGGCGTGTGCCACCACTGCCTGGTGAGTTCTCTAATCTCAAGACAGAAACCCACTTCAGCTTCCCTTCCAAGAGAGAAATATGTACCTAGGCCAGAAAAATGAATCGGATTATCCTGGACCTGGAGTTAAGGATGCTTGTAAGCCACCATGGGGATGCTGGAAACTGAACCCGGGTCCTCGGGAAGGGCAGCCAGTGCTCTTAACTACCAAGTCAATTCTCCATCACCACTACCACTATCCCCACCCCCTCACATGCACCCTGTATTTTAAACTGACCCAGGGAGGATCGGGTGGAATCAGGATGAATCTGTAATGGAAAGGCTTATAGCAATTCCTAGTAAAGGAGAATGTTTCTATTCTGACTACTGGACAAAAGACTGAATCTGGGCATAAGTGACCTGGCTGATGGCTAATGGATTTTTATATAAAAAGGCTAGCATGTTCTGGTGGAAGTGAATATACTCTTATTTGTTATTTATAGGTCGGGATTAAACTAATCCAATAGGAGTTTGTGCTGTTGATTGAGAGTAAGATAGATCCATCTGCGTGCAAAGAATTGTGAATGAGCAAAGATCCATGGCTCAGTGGGCAGGAAGGGCCCAGAGGAGACCACCCATCCACATAATCAGACGTTCACATTTCCCACTGTTCTGCTCCATTGTGTCCAAATGTGAGAAGCGGCTCTCCAGTCCTCCTGTACAAAGCTCTTTATTGGACTTTACTGAGGCATGATCCCAGCTGCTTCACCCCGACTACCAGCCTCTGAAGGGGTTTGGCTTGATGGTGTCTGGCTGTGTTGCCCCTAAGGAGATTTATGGTCTGTGAAAGATAGTCACATTAACACCCTGAGCATTCCTGGTAGGATTAGAGGCCCCCATTTGCATGCTGTTCTGACATACCACAGCATCTTTTCCCAGCCTTGCCGGGTGGAGTTTGAGGGGGGTAATTAAAAGAAGCTGGTCACATACCCTTGTCCCAGCTGGGCCAGGCAAAGGGTCACTATGCATTTCCAGAGACATTATTTGGGATTTAACACTTTTTAATTGCTGGACCTCTCAGATTGAAATGGTAAGCCTCCCCTTCTGGAGCTGAAAGAGGGTGTCTGACTCCATGGGAGAAAAGAGCCAGCCCTTCTGTGTGGAGTGGATGGATCCCTCCAGCTGCAAGAGGAGTCTGGAGGTGCCTCTGAAGACAAAGGCTTAAGTCATACAAATTACTGGTGTTAACCACAAAGTGTATTCACTGTAGAAGAAGGGAAATAAGAGGAAAAGCATAACAAAGTTAAAATCAGCATCAATTCCATTCTGTGAAAACACACTATGTTTAGCAAGCTGTGCATTTGCAAGTTGTTTCCTTTAATGAATGTTTATTTGCTTATACCTATGAATACTCTATTTGCATGTGCACCTGCATGACAGAAGAGGGCATCCAGTCCCATCAAAGATGGTTGTGAGCCACCATATGGTTGGTGGGAAATGAACTCAGGACCAATGGAAGAGCAACCAGTGCTCTTA